CTAGCACGCCCCCTCACCCAAGCCTCAGGCGGGGCCCAGGGAACCCAGCCCCTCCTTAAGGGGGTGCTCAGGGCTGGTACGTGGGGCAGAGAGGGGCCGCACCGCCCCACCATGCTCAGGGAGGGTGGCTGGGGCTCCACTTGGGCACTTGCTGAGCTGGGACACCGTGCTGCAGCTGCCCGGATGCACGGATGTTTGCCAGTGAGAGGAAGCCCCTCGCAGCGGGCGGCATCCAGGGGCAGCTGCACCACGGGAGGGCAGCGAGGGGGCTCCAAGCCACCACAGCCACACAGGAGCCAGGAGAGCCCTCGCACCTTGCCCTGGTGCCAGGAGGTTAACGGCCAGCCCGTGGCACAAAGCCTGCGGCCTGCAGCAAGTGAGCGCCGCCTGCCTCCAGCTCCTATGGCCACAGGGCTTGGGCTATGCTGGGTAACCCTGGGAAGACATCAGATGGCAGCATGGGGATGCACCAGCGCCTGCTCAGGAAGCCCCAGGTGCTCTCCTGGAGAGGCAAGGAGCAGAGAAAACATCATGCAGTCACAGGTACTGCATCCAGAGCCACGGTGCCGACTGCCCCCAGCCAAATCTTCATGCCTTCTCCCAGCACAGCCACAGAAAAGCCCCATTCAGAGAGGGCTCTGGAGGGTCCCTCAGATGAACCCCACTACCCTGACCACCACCAGCGAGGACTGGGGCTGCAGCAGGGCTCTGGTCAGGGTCTGCTCACACTCCAGCCTCCCCCATGCACCCACAGGTCTCAACACTTGCTACTCTCGACAAGGAAAGCCCTTGCCTAGGTGCATTCCCCAAATCCACCGGAAAATTGACAGCCTCACAGGGATGCAACGGACATCTGGGCAAGCTCGTCATACAATCAGTGTCACAGGGTTGTGCATGAGGTGGACACACAGAGCACAGGAGGGCATGACTCACAGACGCAGCACTGTCAAGTCTTTGGAGAAACTTGCATGAACACCATCAGTTAATTTGCTTTGTTACTTTTGTGGGGGGTTTGATTTTTATTTCCATGGTGCATCCAAAGACAAGTTGTCCAGCAGTTTGCTCAGAACCCCTCGGTTTTCAACTCCTAGGATATGTTAAAGAAGAAAGCACTATTTTAATGTTTGTTTTTTTAAAAAAATAATTAAAATAATTTGCATAGCTAAACTGTTGATCTAAGGCTTCTATGAATGGTGTGGTTATGTTTGACAGACAATGTCCATTAAACAGAGAAAGACACTAGGAAAGCCCCATAACATTTTTTATTATGTTTTTGTAACACACGTGTGCACACACCCCTCTCTCTCTCTCTCAGGAAGGGAGGTCCCCATCTTCCAGCATCCCTTTGACGGAGGATGTCAGGACATCCTGCCCTTTCCTACACCCCGTTGGTCCCAGCAAACACCAGCAACTGCAGCTTCCATGGCCCGAGAGGTCCCCTACAAGCTACCACTGGTCCAAGGTCCTGGCCACGCTCCAGGAACGTCCCACACAGGCGAGCACATCATCTGCCTGGTGCCATCCAGATGTGACACGGAGGTTCCCAGATTTCAAGTCTCTATCCTAACGCGTTCACACACACAGTCACACACACCTAGTCCAGCTGCACTTGGGTAGCCCAGCCTCTCCTTAGGAGCCCTGGCACTAAGGCGAGCAGCCAGCGTGTTCGCTGTTGGCGCGAGGGCCAGCCTCTGTATGCGTGTGGCAGAGCAGGGCTGGGCTGGGTGCCACTCCCTGCGTGGGGAAAGGCGCTTCCCCAGCAGGAGCGCTGCCTTCCCAACTTTGCACGCCCCACAGCTGCCCTCCTCACTGGGAATGAGCACAGGAGGCTTCCACACACGCTCCTCCACCTGCCCCAACATGACAAGAGGACTCCATCTCCCTCCGGCTGCAGCAGAACACCCAGAGCAGCTCCTCCCTGTTCTGGCATGATCCCCTGATGGGGCACATCCAGCCAACCAACGCGACACAGGTCAGCTACAGGCAATCTCCGCAGCTGGCCCTGCTTCTAGGCTATGCTTTGGTCAACCGGCTGCTTCTCCCCACACAGACAACCCAACAAGCAACCACTGCATGATGGAGGCCAGCATTTTATTTTTTTTTAATATGGAAATTAATTTAAAAGTAGAAAGAAAGAGTCCCCCAGACAATAAATATTACGCCTTCATGAAATAAATTAATGTAGAGATTCTGTGCAGGGGGAAGTCGCTCCAATCACAGATTCAACAGCAACCGGCACTGGCTCCAGTGTCCCCTCCCAACCTTCTCCACTGCCTGGTGCAGTGGAGAAGCAGCAGCAAGCCCACCTACCCGCAGATCTGGCAGGCCACGGCGGGGCGAGGTGTGGCCTTCACACAGTCTGGCAGGGCCACAGAGCTGGGGAAGTCGCCAGGCTTCCCCTCCAACAGCCACCAAGACATCTGGGATTGCTCCACTCATCTGGCACACAGAGCTGGCATCAGAACCACAGGACCAACCTACCTCAGATAGGACCCTCCAGAAGGGCCCAGGGGAGGACAGGACCCTCCAGAAGGGCCCTGGGGAGCCCCCCACCAGAGCCCTGCCCTCCTCGCTGCAGCGGGAGCCTGCCTGGAGCCCTCACACTAGTTTCATGTGAATTTGAAGAGGATGACAAATTGTTTGTGGGGTGTTTTGTTTTTTGGGTTTTTTTTTTCCTTTTTTTCTTTTTCTTTTTTTTTTTTTTTACATCAATTCCCCCTCCCCGCCCCAACATACATGATGTAGAAGACCCCCACTCCCTCCCAGGTAAAAACGCTTTGTCCCCAACCTCTGCTAGAGTTGCCCCCCGGCCCACACCTCCCGGGGTGAGAGAAGTTCACAGATAAGGCAGTTCGTGTGAGAGGGAGCTCGGCCCTGCCAGTGGTCAAGCCCATGCCTCCAGGCCTGAGAAGGGCAGTGACTCGCACCACCAAGCTTCCCCCTTCCAGACAAGACAGAGAACAGAGACAGACAGACAGACAGAGCGTGGGAGGGAGGCACTCCTATGTTTTTTGCATTGCTGCTTCCCTCCTCCCCTGGCTCTTGCTCCCCTAGCCCTCGCAGGTCCACTCTATCCCCCTCCCATCTCCCAGCCCCTAATACAATTCAGATCCTTGACAGCTAAAAAACGACAAAACAAAATGAAAAGAACAAAACAACCCCCATGCCACACCCTTCGCATCCTTCTCCACCCACTGCTGTGGCCCAGAGGGGAAATCCTGACTCCCAAAAAGGTCCTGCAATTTTTGCCTCCTGGCAGAGCTGAGACCAAGCAGGAGCTGGGCCCATTATTTCCCTGTGATCTCTATAACATCGTCGTCTTTGTCCTCGTCATTAGAGCTGCATCCCACCTCTGGGACCTCCTGGGGTTCAAACTGAGGCACCTGGGACCGAAGGAGGCCCCCAGCCGGGTAGCCCGAGTGAGGGGACATGTAGCCAGGGTAGGCAGATGCCATGCTCCTGGGAAGGCTGCTAGGCAAGACGGGGGCTGGGAAAGGAGCAAACATCCTGGGCTCGGGCAGGAGTGACTGTGTGAAGGGAAGCGAGTAATTGGGCAGCACCCCCGTCAGAGAAGGGTTTAGCATGAATGAGGGGACGCTGGCGGTGGCTGAGGTAGCAGCAGAAGAGCTGGCGGTGCCGGCTGTCAGCAGAGGGTCAGTAGTCACAGGGAACACCAGATGAGGGTCTGGGAGTAAATTGGGCAGCTGGTAGTAAGAGGAGCCAGTGCCCATGTACAAGGAGTTTCCTGGTTGGGAGGCAAATGGATGGGTTAGGTTGTGGTTTAAAGAGACAGGAGGCATGGCGAACCCACCAGAGACGGGGTACCCGTGTTCGTACGGCTGCACGGACGATGGCAACTGGCGCTTCTTCTGCTGCCTGCGGGCTTGCTCCTCTGGAGCCGACGGTGAGGTCGACTTGCGCTTGTTGCCCCGTAAGTCCAACACTGAGTGGGCATCAACATGCTGGCTGGTGGCCGGCAGGGCTGAAGACACAGAGGGAGCCATACAGTGAATCCCCACGCGCTGCTCGGCTCCTCGGGCTGCTAAGCCAGGCGCATTGTCTGTGCGAGCAGGGTGGCCTTGCACTGCGTTGGTGCTGGGAGAGCTGTGCCGGGACTCCCGGGCAGCTGCTGCCTCCGCGTACTGCTGCAGCTCGCTGATGATCTCGGGGCTGTCGGGGGATATGGGCCGAGTGAGCTCCTCTGCACTGGGGAGCTGCGGTGATGAGGCACTGTGTCTGCCATTGCTTGTGGACTCCAGTGAAGAGCTCTGGGAGCCTGGAAACAAGGAGATGGAGCTGGTGAGAAAGACAACCTTGGAGAAAAACCTGGGGGCCAAGAAACAACAGTGGAAAGGAAGGTGAGGGGTTGTGGGGTCAGCTCTGAACACAAGCGTGATGGAAGGCAGCCAGGGAACACTGCCCCAGACACTTGGGTAGGAAAGCACATGAGCAAGCCACACACACCACTCACAAGCCCCTACCTGAGGCAGCTGTCCGACGGTCTTCATTGCCCTTTGGCTTCCCAGTGGTCCGGATAGCAAAAATCCGCCCGTCGCTGGTCCGGATATACGTCCCTGAAACAGGCAGAACAACTTTATTCACGGTTTCTGTGAGCCCATGAGGCTGCCCAGGCAGGAATAGGACAGCAGTGCTGCATAAGGCAGCACAGGTCACGCAGGGAGATCAGTGGGGGGCTTCTGCCCCCTTCCTCACTCCTCATTTCCACCCCTTCAGCTTTTCTGGACTGCAGCTCACCCCCCTCAAATGTGCTGCCAGTGGGAAATGTGGGACTTCATGCTTGGGACTAAGTTTGATCTGGGAGCACTGGGAAGCGTTGGACTGCCCCAGTGCATGCAGTGGGTGTTGTGAGAATGAGACACCCAGCTACAAAGTTCAACAGCTCCTCTCAGAGGCAATAGCCCTGAAGCATCAGCTACAACAGCACACCCAAAGCATGGGTTGCAAGAGAGCCACTGCAGAGTCCAGATCTCCTCCCCTTCTTGTTTCTTTTCCTCTCAAGGGACTGATTCATGCTTTTACATCCTTTTCTTTACTAACTGGCTATGGCTAGGACCCTATCCACAAGTCTAACCAAGACAGAGAGAGACTTACCTTTTGTCCCTCGGATGATGTGGATGCTCTCACCAGCACTGATTCTTGCCTGTACATCAGTGGATGTATTTGTACCCGGAATCACAATATCTGGCAGTGGCGGAAGAAACAGAACAGTGTTGGTGAAATTACAGGCTAGATATAGTCAGAAGCGGGGAAGTGCACCACCAAACCCTTTTGCTTGCAGTGCAGTTGTCTCTCCTATGCGCTGTGCTAGAACTAAGCCCTGGGTTTATTTCTGAGCAGCATAGGAAGGCAGCAGAGGCTACAAGGAAGCAAAAGCCACGCAGCTCTAGCACAGCATCTCCCCTATCCCAAAAAGGACAACTAGCAACAGTATTGCAGGCCCTTTCACAGGGAGTTCACTCCCAACAACCTACCAGGCCCATGCCCCTTACACACCTGCAGAGAAAGTCTTCCAGGTACAAGGAAACCACTCAAATGCAGAGAGGCACTATCAGTGGCTCTGATGCATGCCTGCCCACAGGCCATGTGGGCATCAACAACTCACCCTGCTGCTCAATTCACCATGGGCATCACAACTCACTGTGAGCACCAGCAACTCACCTGTGGTGGTGACAATCTTCTGCACCAAGACACCAGCTCGCTGTAGATAGTTGATAGGGAAGTTGACAGCAGGGTTGGAACTTGAGGTTGATCCTGTGCTGCCCATGGGGACATGCCGGGGCATCATAGGAATGGGGGTGGATTGAACTGGGCGGACGCTTGCCACTGGCTTGTCCTCACCCTTGAGGGCTGGTCGCCTAGTGAGAGAGGAGGGAGGAAAGTGCAGTGCCCCCACTGACAGGGCTAAGCATCCTCTACCCCTTCATTCTATGTCTACAGCATGGGAAGAAGGGGATAGAAGCAGGTACTCACCAGTTCCTCTGACTAAAGGCAGGGATGCTCGTCAGACTCTGGTCACTGGCTGGGTAATACTGTGCGTAGGACGGCCGGGTGTAGGGGACGGATGCTCGCTTTTCCTCCTCATAGCTCTTCTTAGCTGCTTTCTTCTCTGCCTTGGTCAGCTTGTGCTCCTTCCGGTCTATCAGCAGTGACTCATGTTGAAAAGGCTCCTGCAACCCCACAGCACTGAGGTTTTGACACCAACACACCACAAGAGGGAACCAACATGCCCCAAATGGCAGCCACCCAGTCCCTGCATCAACACTATCTCCACCCCAGGTTGGAGCAGGGGAAAGGGAAGTTGGGAGGCAGAGCTGGTCATGGCAAAGCATGTATGGGACAACACTGTGGATGTGACCAAGGCTCAGCTTGAAGAGTGACAGAGTCAGCTAAGCCATCACTCACCATCGCTAAGCTTGCCCAGCCAAGGCCATCGCTTACCAGGAGCACACAGCAAAACTCTTGAGTCAAAGGCTAAGAGTACAAGCACAGAGCCTGCTGAGATGTCACACAGCCAGCAGAGCACCATGGCACCCAACCACAGGCCCACTCTGCAGCACCACCTTACCCAGTGAAACTCTTCACAACACAGGCGAGTGCTGGCTATCCCAGCTTTGTTTTAAAGCCACCCCAGGAAGAGAGCTGGCAGCAAGTTGGGATATGCCACTGCCACCTTCCTGGCACAGCACCAAGTTGAAGAAAAGGGTGTCCTACAACCTGCCCTCAAACCTGTCCAGGACAGACATGGCTCTGAACACATAGAAGATATTGCAGGGAAGGGCAGGGCTCTTACTGCCCTCTCTAGACGATTTTTTACCTATTCCCACCAGCACACAGATGCGTCCTTCTTGCCACCATGTCCCCATCACAAAGCCAGGCTCATCCAGACCTCCTTCCTGCCTGTGCACTGCTGTGCCAGCTAGGAAGCAGGTTAGTTTTACCTTGGTGATGAGGTGAGGATACTTGAGACAGGCTAACTGTAGAACAGACTCCTTCATCTTGCTTGGATTGAGGGAGAGCTGAGCAGGGTCAGATTCCTCTTCCACAAAATGCAGCAGGTTCTCCACCTCCCGTCGGGTGAAATTCAGCACTGGGTTCAGATCATCCACCACCCGATCTGGAAAAGAGAGGGAAGGAAGTCAGCAGAGAAAGGAAGAGATGGGTACTGCTCCTTGCTGTCCTTCCTATACTCCTGTCCTAATAGAGCTCCCTCCTTGCAATCTGCATGATTCTCAGAAGCCCTCTGTAAATGTCAGGGCAGGGAGAAAAATCATCAGCCATGTTCAGAGATGAGCCTGTTTGACCAAGTCAGGCTGACAAACGCCTGTGCTCCAGACTGCACAGCAATGCAGTGCAGGTCACTGAGCTCCTGGCATGCAAGAACATGAAGCTAATTACACATGGTGTCCCACCTCACATCGCAAGGCTGAAAACATACAATCCCTGGGACAGAACTGCAGCCACATCAGTATGTGCCCTCCCACAAATCCCACCAAAAAGGCTCAAGTTAATAACCAGGTGCTGAAATTTACAGAACTCCGTTGAGTCAAAAGCTCAGAAAAGCAGCTCCGTCACAAGAGCCTGAAAGTTTTTCTTGGACGTTCCTTCCTGCATAGGAGCACATGGAGAAAACATCTATATCCAGGACTCTCTTGGGAGCCAGGCCAGCTGCCAGGGGACTCCACCTCAAGTGCAAAACGGCATACTGAGCTGATCATGCTGGGCTGCTGCCTCTGGAGTTGGGTTTCGAGACAGAGGCAGCAGAACTCTTTTTGTGTCACCACAGCCCTCATGCTCTATGAGAGCAGCTTGACACCTGGCACCAGCCAGCACAAAAGATACTTTTGGTACAAAGGCAGGGCAGAACTGGAATGAATTAATTATTCTTGGCTCCTAAGTAAGCACTATCAGTCAAAGGTATCAATATATTTTAATTTCGCTATTTTGCCTCTCTTGCTGCTGGAGAAATGGAGGTACAGAGCTATTTAATAAGTAATACCCAGTTTAAGACAAGTAATGCCCAGGCACAGGGGGAAACAGGATGACCACCCCCCAAGTCTCCAGTCTCTTGTAGCAGCCAGGAGCATAGCAGAGAAGGTAAATGTCACTGCATTGGACTGGTAGCACCGCCCTGCTGCAGGATGTTGGCTCTACAACCCCTACCGCTCTGCCACTAATTTCTTACAGGGTCTTATGTCACTGCCAACTCATAAACATCAAACATAGCCCTAAGATAGTGTCTCTGTCACTTCTTTGGCTGTCTGGTTTTCAACCTTAAAAAAAGGAGTTACAAAAACCACAGAAACAGGACTTAAAGGAGCTAAAAGGAGTGAAAGCCAAGGGTGGATTGCCATGTCCATCCACACTTACCCGACATGCCCTGCTTGGAGATCTGACGATCATAAATCTTCTTCTCGAGGGTGTAATCAGAAACCAATCTGTAAATGTGGCATGGCTTCTTCTGCCCGTAGCGGTACACTCGGCACACGGCCTGGGCATCATGGCATGGGTTCCAAGAAGCATCAAACACCACCACTCTGTTTGCTCCAATGAGGTTGACACCCAAACACCCAGCACTGGAAATTAAAGGCAAATTTCAAATTGCTGCCTTGACCAATTTTCAAAGCTTCTAGGCAGGACAGCCATCACAGCCAAGAGTCCATGAGGTGTCTATGGAACATTCCCTCCAGTCATACAGGCAACTTCAAACCCATGTTTGATTTCCAAGACTGTTGTTAAGTTGCTGCAGAGGACTAAGGCTAAAATTCTACGCCCCTAGGGAATTCAGAAGCAGATGGCACTATCAGCCCAGAGGCTTGAGAGCACGTTACAAAGGAAGTTAAGAACTGAAACCCCATATGCATACAGAGCATCAGTGTGAGTCCTCCACTGTGCCATTCTGCTCCAGCCAACTTACCGTGTGGACAAAAGGAAGAGCCAAACAGAGGTGTTGCTGGGGTCATTGAACTGGTTAATCAGTCGTTCCCTTTCCGAGGCAGAGGTGCTGCCATCCAGTCCTGAGAAGGAAATCAAGGACACATTTAAAAGTTCTGTATGTTTGGGGGAATCCCATCAGACCAAAACCACTTCCCAAACACTGAGCTTTGGTACTGGTTCCCAACCAATTCTAGGTCTTCCTGAAGTCATGCACCCCAGGACCTCAACTGGACAACTCTGTACTTCTAATTTGCCCAGCCAGGCAGGTGCAATGCAGCCAGCCAGGTTGGGATTTGTTCAACTGAAAGATCAAGCAAAACATTACTCAAGCTTGGCAAGGCCAAGACCAGGAGTGTTACAGCACATCTAGCCCATTAAGGCTCCATATTAGGCAAGACAGACAGCAAGCAAGAGCAGAAGGCACAAAGGCCTCATGTATGCTGGAAGCTTGAGGAACCAAGAGAAAGCAAAACTGTGAAAGCCTTTGGCAAAACCCCATAGACTGGATCTGAGCACAGAGAGTACTGGTCTAAAGAAGTGCAGGGGGGTATCATGTCTCTGTTCCTGAGGAGCAGCTTGCTTCTGGCAGTTCTGCAAAAATCAGGAACACCATATCCACCGCTCCTCTCAGTCCTTGCCTGTAAAGTAGCCACACAAAGCAATGACCCATGACAGAACAAGATTTAAAGCTGGGGAAGAGGGGGAGATGAATTCACAGCTCTGAGCTAGCGAAAGCATTCCACAGTGATTCTGGTTTGGGAAGCACGATCTAGAAAATAGCCAAGTGGGAAGCAAAAAGTATCTTTTACAACTTAAGAAAGCACTAGTGTGTAAGTGAGCTGTTAAAGATGTCTAACATCTTCTGAGTAAGTTGTCAAAAAGACGATTTAGAAATTATGGGTTAGCTGCTATCAAACTGACACTGTCTTCCCAAGCAACTAAAGAACAATCTGAAAGAGACTTAATCAGAAGAATGCTTCAGAAGAGCATTTTCACACCCAGGAACAACTACAAGAAGATGGTAGGTGACTTTCAGGAATTAGTCTGTCACAGAGGATCAAAGTGTCACACCAGAAGACAGGAGGATTTGGCTGCACTCACTGTAATAGTTGATGTTTCGAACCCAGTTGTGAACTCCTCCAGCTGAGCCTGGAGGACTCGGCATTGGTCTCTTTGCCAAAAACTCTTCAATGACAGATAACGTGGACAAGCTCTGGCTGCAAAACCAAGATATCTGTTCAGGAGAAAGTCCCCACAGCAGCAAAAGTAGAGTACTAGAACTCTTCCCCAACCATGACAGCACTGACAGTTGTCAAACCCTATTTGTGGCAGCACACCTCTCACTTGATAGTGGCAGAAGTATAAAATCCGTGGAGGAAAACCAAGATCTAATACAATAAAGGAGAAAAGGGGAGCTGCCACACCACTCACCCCGTGTAACAACCTAGTAACAGAGGGGTTCAACTACTTAGCATTTAGTGACTGTAGGATCAGCTGTTGATGCTTTGCTTACCTGAAGACCAAGATCTTGTCTCCAAGCTTCACACTTTCCTCAATTAAGTGGAACAGTAACACCATCTTGGGTGAGTTCTCCAAGACTCCCGTCTGGTAATCACACAAGATGTCTTTGGCCTACCGAGAAATGGGAGACTATTACAGGCCGAGTTGCTCATTCCCTGTTTAGTTCAACAATCCAGTCTCAAGTTGAGAGAAATAATTCATTACAGAGGGATTACATACATCCAGCCAGGTCCAGCTGACAATGTTACTCCCAACTGCTGCTGCTACCTCCCATTCCAGAAGCTCCAAATAACAAACTACTTGGAGTATGGATGAATGAGCATCCTCTTAGCCTCGCATGACTCTCTACTCTACCTCAAGACCTCTCTTCCAGCCCATTAGATTTACCACCATCTTACCTAGATTAAACTTCACCCTAATACTTTTTTTGGAATAACAGAGTCCACAGCCTTTTTGGTCAGATGAAAACAATGGTATGTGTTGCCTGCACTCCAGCCTCACAAGAGTCCCAAAATCTCTACCCAGTGCCAAGCAGACATGCTTGTCAAGATGCTCTGTGGCAGACAAAATGGATGAGAAATCCCCAACTCTTAAACAGAAGAGTTTTTTCTTTGCTCTAGTTCAGAAAACTGCCCTAACAAAAAGAGGTACCGTCTCGCAAAGTATCTAGTCTGTTTATCACAGCTCTGCAAATTAAGAGTTTTCCAGCAGTGGTACTCACCCACTCATAAGTAACGACCTGATTTGCTCTCTCCTGAAAGGGGTTGAAGCCAACGCTCTGGAGGAACTTGCTATTGGTAGCTTCTCCAACCGGTGATGCCAAAGCATTACTCTCTGTTTTGACTTTAATTCCCTGAGGCTGGCAGCGGGAATTAGTACTTGCTGTGCCAAGGTCATCCACGTCCAAATCCTGCTCGTTTGCCAGATTCTCCTTTTGCAGAGCTTCATACAACACATCTGGATGGTTCCAGATCTGAAGGAGTAAGAAAAGACAGTGGTTAGGCCCGCACTGGCCGGCTGCCTGCCAATGACTGTGGACTGAAAGCCCCCACAGCTATTCAAAGGAAAGAACTAATACGTCAATCACCTCACCACCATCCCCACATGGAACTGTAAGGCGCTGCAGAGAAAGCTAGTCTGACTGCATTAAGTAGTGAAAACAGAAAACACGACTCTGCCATGACACAAGGTATAAACCATCTTAACCAAGGCTCTCCTGACTTCAAAACTGTTGAATTCTTTCCTTGAGAACAAAACAGAAGGCCACTATACACCCCACACAGCACAAACACAGGAGGAAGCTGCTTGTTTCCATTGCAGCAGGTAAATGGTTAAGGTATCAGCCCAGTACCGGTTCAGCTGATGGCTGCAGAGTTCTTGTACAAATTTGAACATTTAACGTGCCTGCACCCCAGTTCTGGAAGTGGGGATAACAATTCTGCTGGGCCATTGCAGGTCACTCTGGAGAGAGAAGATGTGCCTCACCAACCAATCTCCTGGGTTTTTTTCTGCTCATATTCCTGCCCTTCCCTTACACACTAGAATATTTCTTTGTAGCTCCTGCCAAAACCTACCTTACAACAGACACAGAAAGCTTTGAGTGGGTTCAGTCCCAGCCAGCCACTGTTGCCTGCATCTCGGAACCGGTTCATGAACTCCGTATAAAGGGCCCGCTGGATCTTTGAAAGACGTACCAAAATTACATGCTCTTCCTTAGATGGGAGCTGAACCTTCAGCACATTGTGGCCTCGCCTGTGGAGGAAATAAGAGAGATAAACAGAGGGAAGGGAATTTCCCAATCTGATCTCTCTGTGGCTGCCTGTAGGGTAAGATTTTGACTTCTTGCCCACCTGGCTGCAGGGAGAAAGACCTCTAGCTGCATGCTTCTCTAATGCACGACGCTTCTGAGATACTCTCCCTGCAGCCAAATACCAACTGTAAGCACAATTACAGAGATCTCAAATGTTGAAATCTTCTAGCACAGGTCACAGTGTTAAGAGGGTGATGAAAGTCCTGTTTTCCATGGCAGTCAAAAAACAGAAATAAGACCTAAGGTCTCTTTTTAGCTCTGCCAATGACTAAGATATTCCATCCAAATCACTGGTCCAGCATCTTAAAATCCTCATCTGAGAAACAAAGCTGATTTGTTTCCAGAGTGGTGGAGACACTGTCACTTTTCATAACTGAGGGTTCGTGAAACACTTTCAGATCCTTGGGTAGAGGATGTCAGAAAGTGCACATTCAAATTAAGTATTAGGACATCAAAATAAACCTGAGGTCACTCTGGTGCAGTTAGAAGCGTTGTTCTCTATTATCAGAGTCCATGGTACCAAAGCAAACCAACTTTACTTCTACACCCAAGGCAAAACAGAGACATAAGGACCACTTTGCAGTTGACAGGTTCAACAAGACAGAGACTCTGAGAGAAATATGGAGCTGCTAACCTAAGGATCTCCTCTGTGGTTTTCTCTGTATGCTTAAGATCCTTCCGCAAAGACAGATAAGGTACCTGTTTAAAACTCAAGCCTAAGAAGCTGGATCGATGGGCCAAGGCCAATTAAATTGTATGAGGTTCAACAAGGCTAAGTGCTGGGTCCTGCAGTTGGGTCATAACAACCGCATGCAATGCTACAGGCTTGAGGAAGACTGGCTGGAAAGCTGCCCGGCAGAAAAAGACCTGGGGGTGTTGGTTGACAGCTGGCTGAATATGAGCTGGCAGTGTGCTCAGATGGCCAAAAAGGCCAACAGCATCCTGGCTTGTATCAGAAATAGTGTGGCCAGCAGGACTAGGGCAGTGATTGTCCCCCCAGACTCACACTGGTGAGGCTGCACCTCAAATACTGTATTCAGTTTTGGGCCCCTCACTATAAGAGACACATTGAGGTGTTGGAGCGTGCCCAAAGAAGGTCAACAAAGCTGGTGAAGGATCTAGAGAAAACGTCCTGTGAGAAGCAACTGGGGGAACTGGGGTTGTTGAGTCTGGAGAAAAGGAGGCTGAGAAGAGACCTTATTGCTCTCCACAACTACCTGAAAGAAGGTTGTAGTGAGGTGGGTGTTGGTCTCTTCTCCCAAGTAACAAGTGATAGGATGAGAGGAAACAGCCTCAAGTTGTGACAGTGGAGGTTTAGAATGGATATTAGGAAAAATTTCTTCACTGAAAGGGTTATCAAGCATTGCCCAGGGAAGTGGTTGAATCACCATCCCTGGAAGTATTTAAAAGCTGTGTAGAGGTGGCACCTAAGGACATGGTTTAGCAGTGGACTTGGTAGTGTGAGGTTAATGGTTGGACTCGATGATCTTAAGGGTCTTTTCCAACCTAAATGATTCTATGATTCTATAAGGCAGCGTGATTAACTGTACTGCATAAACTCACCAAACAAGCATACTAATTTCGGATGAAGGAGCTGTTTGCATAGACTACACCGTTAAGAACTCCTTGTGGACTCACCGCTGCACAAAGCCTTCCAGCAGGCTATGCAGGACATGACTGCGATACCTCATGAGACGGACATCTTGAGGGGTGCTGTCAATACACTGCCCATTCAAGATAGGGCGCTCAAACATGTTGCTGAATTCCTGCCGTGAGCCTAGAAAGTCAGGTCGGACAAAGTCTACCATGCACCAATACTCAATGAGGTTGTTCTGGAGTGGGTAGCCAGTCAGCACCACCCGCCGGCGGGAGCGGATGTTCTTCAGGGCCTGCGAAGTGCTGGCATGGCAGTTCTTTATCCGGTGTCCCTCATCACAAATAACCACATCTGGGCCAGGGCGAGACAAAGCTTTCTCAATCCCTGAGGACAAGGAACATTAAACGTTAGTTAGAGATGAATAAGACAAAGTTCTGATTTTATATGGTCACCAACTTCATAAAAGAAAACAGGGGTGGTTCTGAAATACAAAAAAAAAGCAGTGTTCATGGGTGGCAGAGAGCAAGGCTGATTCAGGAAATAGGATGTGACTAGACACCAGCTCCAATTTAGCATAACGTGGTAATGACCAGACATGACTGTCCCTTGATTTCTGCTTAATGACCTGCATTGCATCAAGTTCAGTGTCTTGCATCAGATCAGACTGGTAAATCTCACACAGACAAATCCCCAAGTTCGGTGTACTGACTTCCATGCTTACTTGCAGCTATTACAAGAAATGAAAGACTCAACCAAAGCTCAACAGCTTTCTGTCTCCAAAGACACAATCCTGCCCAAAGTTTGATCATGTCAGGGATGCTAAAAACAAGTTATAGGTTGTTTCCCTGTGCTGCCAGAGTTGATAGCCAGCTGGACAACAGGATCACACACTCTCTCTCAAGGACTGGCCTCCCACCTTTCAGAAGCTCTTGCTGCCGGTCTTCCTCATCCAAGTCAATGATGACAGGGCCAGCTTGTTTCTTTGTTTTCTTCTTCCTGCCAGTGGCAAAGGACTTCTTCAGTGAGAGGAGACGGTACATCTCATATCCCATCAGCAGCACACCACCCTCTATCACCCAGTCATTCACCACCTTTGCACGTGCAGCTGTTGTCCTGCAAAACAAACAAACCAACCAAATGAACTGTAAGCCTTCTCTCCAGTTTCAGTTTGAACCACTGGATTGGAGTCTGCTGAGAAAAAAGACCCGTCCAATTAAAGCACTTTCTCGCAACAAACCAGACAGAGGAATACAAAGAATTTTTTTTAGGAGACAATCTGTACAGAGGAAAAGAAAAAAACCTTTTATGTGCCACAGGTAGCAGGGTTGAGAATGACAAATCCTTACAGGAACTGAGCTGTAGAAGTTTGTCACGTACAAAAGCATATCAAACTTGAAAGCAACCTTTTTAAAGAGCTGTTCAGGAGACTGCCACAAAAACAATTTTTGGGATGAGCTGCCAATGTACATACTTGTAATCATCTAGTCGTTTATCCCTTGTTGTTGCCAATGCTAGCACCCCTCAATTATTCCTTCCCTGCTAGCCTGCTCAGAATTGGTTCAGATCAAGACACTGTCCTCACTTAATCCTCCCAGAACACACCAGATCACATCCAATAGTAAACACATGGCTGGAGTAACATTAGCAGATTCAAAGTACGTTCCACCCAGGAGGTGAAGACCTCAACAGATAAGTGTATGAACACAGCTGATGAACTGAGAGTTCCCTAGGTTCACTATACTGTCCTGATCCATGCAAGACAAATGACCCAGAGAGAAGCAGAGATCCACGAGCCAAGAATACACTTCACACCAGGCTGTAACTGCAATCACTGATCTCTCCCTTCTGGACAAGGAGGCTCTGTATAACTTGCCAGAATCCCTCAAGGACAACACAATTCACAGATAGTCACAGTGTTGGGTAGAGGAATCCCTAAGTGCATGAAAAATCTCAGGAGAAAAAACCCAACATTTAAAATACAAGAGACGTGGTATAGGGGGCACGTGCCTTATGAGTCCCAGGATTCTGACAGGACTAGCAGTGTACCACCAGAAACAAACCATAGGACCCCTGCTCCTCTCTGCAGAAGTAACTCTGTCTCTGGAACTGGGTTCCCGATCTCAGCATATATGGAAGAACAAGGTGTGTCAGCAGTGTGAGAAGGAAGTACAAGATATAAATACTGAATGAAAGAGACAGTAAAGCTCTCCTAGGTACCAAAATCCTCCTCTCAAGACAGCATCCACAACACATGCAGAGTGGGAAAGATCTGGGAGTTGAGGGCACAGAATTAGCCCAAACTAAACAGTCTGCAACGGCAATTCTGATAACAGTTCCATAAGACGCAGTCGAAGAGCTCTAAAGGGCTTTTACTGGCACCTACTTGTGTTCATCATTCAGGATGTGGACTTTGAAGGTGCGGGGCTGGACGTCTTTGGGGTTATAATCAGCAGGAAAAAATCGGGGGGTGGGAGCCACATGTTGAATTCTGCTAGCCAGTTTTGGAGCGTATTCACCTGAAAAAATTAGCCATAGAAGGGTTAAAAACCCAATTGAGTTACTCAGGATTCTGCTCAGGAAGAGCGGAAATGAGAATATGGAATGACACCCAGCTAGGCCCAGACAGAAGGAACAGACCACAGCATGCAAACTCAGGGACACGGGGAATGAGAGGGAGAAGAAGAGCAAGGGTATGATAGAGCTTGATGTGAGACAGGACACTAATCAATCTCCTCTATGCAAAGAAAGAAGTAGTGCAAGGAAGCCCCTCAGCCAGCCCTTCACATGAGCTACTTACAGGTACAATGGCAAGAACAGTCTTTGCCTCTGTGTGCCGAAAAAGTACATCCAAGAAAGAGATGACTTGTATGGTCTTGCCCAGGCCCATGCTATGCGCTAAAATACACCCAAACCCACTGCTGGTTTTAAATCTCTCCAAGGACTCAACCAAGTTGTCATACAGGAATCGGATCCCACCAATCTAGACAGAAAAGAAGAAAAGGTATTAGAACGGTGGGAGAAAACAACAAGATGGGTATGTATTGACAGAGTGGCAAGCACATTAGTATTGCATAAACCATGAAAATATAAAGGGGATGTTTCAAGTTCACTACAGTATTCTAATCTAGGGAAGACTCAGGAAGACAGTATTTTTAGATACTCATAAAACTTTCTGAGAATATAACAACAAATCAAAATTCATTTGTAGCCAGAGAATCTGAATTGGGATTGATTACTTTGTTTATAAATATAATTTTATTTTTAAAATGTTCATCTAAATATACAAAGGAAAACATTCCTGTCTGCGCCAGATGTCACCACCCTGTCCATCACCAGGAGACCCAGGTAAAAAACTTCTTGGGCATCACAATGAACTCTAGTTGTTATAGAATATTTTGCCTTTGAGAGCTGAAAGAATTTTGTTACAAGTACAGCCAGAAACAAGCAGCACATTCTCATCTCTTATCTTGTCACTGAAGATGATTACACGCTCTTGAAGCAAGAGCTAAATACTCTGGTTATCATATGATAACAATAGCCAAAGTTATACATAGCCCTGACCCTCCTTTAATTTGTCCTTATCATTTGACTGTCCACAACAGCCATCACCACAACCAGACTGGTCACTAATCTCACCAAAGAAGTTCTTCTGAGATTACAAGGCAGGCTTGCCTGAATTAATTGTATTTTCAAGGCTAATAAAACCTACCTGATGGGGTTTTACTGCATGTGCAAGCTGGGGAGCCAGGAAAATGTCCTCCTCATTTGGTGGATGATTGATGTTGACAATGACTTGCCCCAGAGCATCTGACTGATTTAAGGCATCATTCACATGAGAGCCACTGCTCTCTTCACTGCCATCCTCCTCCCCTTCATTGCCAGAGTCGCTGCTGTCCACAATTTGGAGGGCATCATCCTCTCCTGAACTCAGCTCAATCACTTCTGTAAAGTAACCAAAACAGGAGAGAATAAGGGCAAAGGTTACCTTGACATCAGGGTTTATCATGCATGGAAAAAAACCTCATATCTAAATAAGGCTATCACCTTTTGCAATTCCACACTGGCCTAATGACCTATTCTGAACAAGTGGGCACAATACAGGCACACACTAGGCCCCTCAGGCCAGCATATAAAAGCATGAGTTTCCCTGTGTTTCAGAGAACATTAATTTGTGCTGATCCAAACAGAACATGAGACAATTTCTGTGTTTTATGTTCTCCTCCATGTGTCTTCTTAATTCCCAAACCCAGACGTGCATTTTTATCTGATGATACAATGTCTAAGGACCACCACGGAAATCAGGCACTCTACTGGAGTGATATAAAGGAGTTGGTTTAGATCCGTTTGGGACAAGGGACACAAAACCCACTTTCAGTTGCAGATCTGAATACCTAGATGCTTCTTTTATACACAGCAGATGACGTCACAACTCATGTAAGCATTCTTCAGCAGAGCACTGAGCAAAATTAAGTACATTTATAAAGCAGAAATAAAAACAAGTTCTCAAGAGTGCCTGATAGGCCAGGTCATAAATGTCAGTTTAGGACTCAAAGGCCAGAACTGGCCATATATTTGGAAACCAATAGGCCTACAAGAATCTGAAGTGATTCACTACTGGAGCATCTGACTAGACAAAACCAGGAGACTTGTGGCTAATAAATAGCATATTGTGAGAAGACCAGGGTGAGGCAATTGGTCACTTACCATCTTTAATGCTATTTTTTCCTTTAGCATCATCTTCACTGCCACTGCTGGTACTATCTAAGCAGATCACTTCCTCAGCCAGGACCTGAGGAGGGAGCTGGGTAGCCTCTGCTGTTCTGAAAACAATGTCTTCTACAAACATAAATTACAAACAATAAGTAATTCATAATAATGGGGAAGATGACAAAACTTTTCAGAAACCAGACAGTATTTCCTTCCACTTTTGCTCCAATAACTTAGCCCTGGAATTTTCCATAACAGACTCTCACTGTCTACAATACTGCTATGACTCAGCTTCCTGGGTCACAATCATCTTTCTCAGTATGCCGAAACAATAGCCCATTGCTGATGGCACCCTCTCTATTGCATGCCCTAGCTGGGGCACACTGACCATGCAACATGCTAAAGTCCCGTCCCCACCCCCACCCTTTTTTTGGGGGGTGGGGGGAGGGGCAAGGGGGCCGTGTCTCAGAAGTAAAAGCTGGTTTTCATCCAGCAGAGAAAGTACCAACTGCTGAAGGGATGATAACTGTCCTTTGTTAGTAGGGACACTGTAATAATTATATCCCACATACCATAAACAACTTTTGCTGATCAAGACCATTTGTTTGTCTGTTTAAGTATTGCCATGTGGGGAGAGAGGCTAGCCAACAGGGCCAAATAAGTACCGCTGCAGTGACTCAGCAAGCAATGACCATCTTCTGGGGCTGCAACCTACTCTGCAACAGTTAAAAGTGTTTTAAATAGCTCTTATTCCTTCCCCCCCATGCAAAAATGTTTTGAACACTTGCATTTAAGGGAGAATATACATTTTCTCAAGAGGCAAAGTCAACTCAAGAACTCCTTACCCCCGACACACCTTCCAACTGCACTTCTCTGCCCTTTACACCAGTCTGAGAGGCTGTGCTATAAACTAGATCACTGAAATGATCCAGGTTAGAAGACAATGCAAGATGACATGTTCACCGGAACACAAGGGTGATGCTTAACCATTTATACTGCCTGCTATTTCACTGCTTGCTGAAACATGCAAGAAAGGACATGGTTACATCATGAACATATGTGTACCCAGTCTAACATCATGAACATATGTACACCCAGTCTACTGTTCCACTATCCCTAGTACCAGACCCATGCATTACCAGACCATTCACAGTACAAATTTGATCTGGGTCAAGGACATGGCTTTCTGTCAAGTCTGTTGGCTTAAGCTTCTGTACTGGTTGGAAAGATAAGAGAGACCTGTTCCAGCATCCCGCTTACACACAATTAACTTGTCAAAATATCTTCAACAAAAGTTACCTGGCACCTTTCACCATGCAGCCACAGCATCTTGATTCAGAGCTAGCTCAGAAGTGGAACTGACTACACCGAACCGACAAGTGGTTTGGAACTGCCATTTCAAGAGTTTACACTTGAAAGTCCAAGTGCAGCATAAAAATCACAGAATGGTTTGGGTTGGAAGGGACATTTAAAGTCCATCTAGTCCAACCCCCCTGGCAATAAGCAGGGACATCTTCAATTAGATCAGGTTGCTCAGAGCCCCGTCCAACCTGACCTCAAATATTTCCCGGAATGGGGCATCTACAGTCTCTCTGGGCAACCTGTTCCCGTGTTTCACCACCCTCATTGTAAAAAATTTCTTCCTTATATCTAGTCTGAATCTACGTTCTTTAGTTTAAAACTGTTACCCCTTGTCCTGTTGTGGACAAGCATGGCACTACCTTCTTCTTGATTCATCTTCTATCCTTAAAAATCTTGCTTCAGGTGGCACTTCCCACTGCTTGGCACTTCCCACTGCTTACCAGGAAGAAACTCTAGGGGTACAGTTGGGATAGTGGCTGGATAATCCTTCCGCTGCTGCTCTAGCCTTTTCCTTCTCTCCAACTCTTCCTGCTGGGCTGCTTTTGTCACGGCTTCCAGTTGGTCCTCACGCAAGAGCTTTCTGAACACAGGAACAAACAGAGAAACATGATTTGGTTACACCTAAACAATTTCTTCAAAAAACCTGAATGGCTGTACAACTAGCTTGAAAGATGATTGACAAGCTCCACGTAGTCTGTCAGCTACACAGACTAGGAACATCATCACCAAAAGCTATAGACAATTTCTACAGCTATTTCAAGACTGTGCTTACCAACTACAGGTAACACTACTATTACTCAAGGAAAAGACAGAAGTTTGACAGAAGCAAAACAATGAAAGGAGGAAAAACATAAGTGGGCAAGTATATACTTAAGCTAGGTTACCATAGACTATCATAGTTCTTCTATCTGAAGGGATGTTATTTATTGCTATGTAGTTTATAAACAGAAAATGCACAAAGTCATGCAAAGAAGATATATGGGAAGAAAAGGCATCAATTTCCCCCACAAAAAGTCATCACCTTGATTCTCCTCTGACATAGTATTTTCAGGAACTAGGAACTCTAATGGCTTTAACAATTGTTTCAAAGGATGCTCTTGAAACACCTTACTTTTACAGGTAATTTTCATTACTTCCAAAAATTGCTCTTCCCCCACTTCAGTTTCACATGTGCAGCCCTGGAAATGAAGGCTCTTTTGGCAGAGGAGAGGTGAAGTACAAGGAGTGGTAAAATCCAGCTCCCGCAAACTAGCCTTTAAATCCACCCAACCCCACACTGCAGGGACATCTACTCCACCTGATGAAGTCTCAGTTTCCAAGCCCTACTCAACGCTCATTCCTTTGGCTTTAAGAAAATCAGTCTGCACAAGCTTAAATATGAACCAAAGACCACCAGCACGTTATACACAGGGCAAGAGAGCCACTTGCTGCCACAGGAGTTCCTGCTCCGTTATGATTCCTCAGAGCATTTTAGATCCCCTTGAACAAAATTTCATAGTGAATTACCACCTCACAACCTGTCCCAGAATATATGTGGTGACTTATACAATCAAACAATTACTGCTTTATAAAATTCAGGTGAAACTGATTTCCAACATTTCAGCCACCAGTCACAGCATCAGCATTCCTGGCCCCAGCATCACCATCCCTGCCAGCACGTACCCAGGATAGTAGAGGGAAGGACTGCATTTTAGGCTGTTTGCAATAGGATCCTCATCAGCAGATATCTGAAACTGGATATTTACTTAATGGTGGTGCTATTTTTCAATTACATGTCTTAAAAGCCAGCAGCAAGTACACAATTTTTGCAATATATTCCATAACCAAATATTCGCTCTTCTGAAATACCAAACAAGTCTCTCCCACATGCAGCACTCCAGTCTGAGATCATACTACTCCCACTGGTGAAATCCTAAGGTTTTGGAAAAGAAAAACCATCTGGTTTGCCAGCAGTGGCAAAATGTAGCTCAGAAGCAAAGTCCAGAGATTCCGTTTTTACTCAAAAGGCTATATAGGACCCTAGCTCTTTCTGTCCTGCTGCTGCTTACCTTATGTTCCTCCGCATGTGAGATGGTTTCTGAGCCCTCTTCTTTTTGGTGTCCTCAGAGGCCAGGCTCTTGTGCTGGTTCTGCAAGAGTCGCTCTGCCCGCTCACTCTGAGATGAGGTAGTTGAAGTAGAGCGCTGCCATTCTCCATCCTCTGCGTGTTCAACATGGTCACCGCTGAACACGGCTTCCTGGGGTTGGTCTGAAAAGGAAAGGAGGCAATGACATGAGAACAACTGTGCCAGGCTGGCAGCTGGCTTTTACACGAGTATTCATCAGGATTTGAGCTGAATGGGAACCAACAATCCCTATTCTCACTTGTTTGCAAGCATGTTTCTCTGAGGGTCAAAACTGGGGTACTTTCCGACAGTGCCACTCAGAGTGTTAAAAAGTTTTATGGTGAATGGTCTGTTCCCAGTGAAAGCCAAGACTAACACCACTCAACACAGCCCAAAAGTGTCCTGACAAGAAAACAAGACAAAATTATTTCAGTCCACACAGAGCACTTGCTGTCCCTAAGAGCCTGTTTTCCTACATGGGCTCAATGAGCTCCAACTGAAACAAGGAACTCAAATCTCTTTTTCTTTGTTTCACAACATTCAAGTGGGGCAGAAATTTCCATTTATATGACACCTGTGTAACCATCTTCCAAGTTAACAGAACATACCATGCAAGAGGTTATCTGGTTCAAACACTGGGTCTTGGCTTAGCAGGCAGCTCAGTGGTTTTATCACCAGGCTCCACACTCATGATTTAAATGGTAACTTCTGGCAAGCTTTTTTAAAAACAAAAAGTAAGTGGCAATGCTCTTTCCACATTATAAACCACATGCACTTCTTTTTCTCTACATTCTCCTATTTTCAGACTTGCATTAATGGCTGATTTCAGTCTTAAAGCACTATGTGAAATGACACCTTGTTCTATGTGACATTTTGCTCTTCAACAGGCTGCCAGTGACCAAGCTAATGCTTGCAGAGCACAGAAAGGAAATGTTTCTGTTCAAAAGCTTCCCCTGAAGTAAACTGTTTCTGACAAGCCTTGTAATAGCTTCTTTGAAGCATCTTGTCCCCTCGTGTCAGGCAAAGAGATACCCTGAACCTCATCTCATAATCAGCTTTCTTGCTTATACTATGTATCTGAGCTAATGACTGAACTGAAAGGACACTTAGACAGAACTTTGAAGGGAAGAAGGAAAGCAGACATCAGCGCAGAAGAATGTGGCAGATGAAGTAATACAGAACCAACAAGCATCACATTGTGACTCCGTGGGATCTGGAGACAAAGAGCACCCCTTCTCAAAAAGCTGGGAGCTTAAATGAAGGATGCTTCAGTACAGCATGTTGCATGTACAGGCACTTCTACAGCTGCCACGTTAATATGCTTATTAAATTAACCTTACCACCAATATCACCTCTTAAAATTGAGATGACAAGAACTAGATTCACACCTTGGTCAAAAGCACCAACTTTACAAGCTTCCTCTCCAAACATCCCACCAGACCTGCCCCAGCATTTGCTCGAAGCCTATGTCAGAATCCATTCAGGACTTCAGGGCTTGCCCCACCATGAGCCAATAACAGCAGAGCACCTCAAACATTTCTGTGAACATCAGTCTCAGCAAGTCTTACACATACTAGAAAAACAGGTGTCCACAACTTATGTGATTCAACAGAGCTCATGATGAATGTAGGGAAGAGTTATGTTGCACGTGAAGATAAAGCCAAAGGAGTTTGCTGCTACAGTCACAGTAGTTCTCCTACCACAGCCAAGGTCTTGAAGCCCTGTCCTCCCACTATGCCTCCTTAAACTTACAAGCTCAGACATCACACATCACATTCACTTGCAGACAGAGAACTGTGCTGGGAATAAACCCAGTTTCCCAGGCTTCCCAGACAACAGCTCTGCTATTTGAGCTACAGACATGTTTTGGTCACATTACCTGCAATTCTTCAGCAGTGTTTCCTTCCCCCTACCCCTCTTGACTCCTGGTTACATAACTAGATCAAAAGATTGGATGAAATAGGGCAAAGGGAAGCAGGGAGGCTGCACACATGATCACATTCTCCGGGATGAGTCATTAAACCAGTGACTATCCCAGAGACAAACAGTGCCATGGTTACACTGCTGCCATCTCACCCTGGGCCCAGGGGACCTTGACAAGGCATCAGAGAGCACAAAGTCATGCTTGTTTGGAAGAGGAAGCACTTCTCTCCCCACACCCCAGCAATTACCAACGTCACCTCCTTTGGCAGTGACTCTGCCACCTGCATCGTGCCAGGAAAGGGTGCCTTCAGGACAAGGGTGATGCTAACAAAATTCAAAGGCTCAGCAGCCCAAAGGTGAGGCCACAACATGTCTTCTCTGTATGTTTTCATATTTGTTGTGCAATCCCTATGTATGCTCATTCCACCTCTACATTTTACTTTTCTTTCCTCTTAACCACGTGTAATACAAGCTCTGGTGAGACATACACAGCTGGATCAGTTTTTTTTTTAAAAGGTAATTCTCATCTGAGCAGGAGCCTGAAGCCTAAAATCTGATGATAAATCTGGCCCTGCACTGAGTAGAGGCCCTCATCCACCACAGCCATGTCTGCTCAGGATGGTGTTTGTCCTGCCAATACAAGTTCTGAGGTGAGGAACACAATCTGTGCCTCAGCCCACATTCCTGACACATATGTATCTAGATACTGAGATCTCTTCCACACTGGCAACATTACCAAACATCACACTGCTTCAGCCGCAGTGGGATTCAGAGGACAGCCGGCTTCCTGAGGCTAGTCCTCATCCTTGCCACTAGAATGAATAAAACTGCTTTTCACAAAGCCTAACTAACACTGATAAAATCACAAGGCACTTCCATCTAACCATGCAACAGCTCCCACCACACCTATGACACGAGCTGGCAGTTACAAGTAGGAATTGTTTTGTTGCTGTTTTGTATTAAACTCCTGATTGTGTACACAGCCTAAATCTTACCGCATGTGAAAAGCGAGACTCCCTGCTGAAGCCATGTGGCTGCGCTCCAGCATGGTTTGCTCCAAGCTGTGTAACTGGGACCCATACTGGGACAGAAACGCATTAAGAAACAATAGCTACACACATAAAAATCTATTTTGTACAAGAACAGGTTTGGTCTTTGGGTTGGAGGGAGTGTGGGAACAGCCTCGCTGAACAGGTCCTAGCAGGTAATCAATGGAATAACTCCTGCCCCAATTCTGCCAACCCTACATCTACAACAGAAATGCAATTATAGTTTTGTAACAGGAGCTCAACACACTACTCTGACATGGCTATAGAAGTAGCTTTTTACACAACACAAAAATTCGTCAGCCATGTTTGCATGTTGACAATTGCCTGATCATGCTTAAGGTGTTAGCGCACTCTAGGAAGACCTGGGCAGTTATCCACATTGCCTCAATGAGAAAAGCATTGCCACCAGCCCATGGGTAACATCCCAGCACAGCCTTGCACAGGGAGATCAGCCACATACACAGCTGGGGGAAAAGCAGGCCCACGTCCACTCAGCAGAAGACAGCCACAGGTCAGTTGTGGTCGCCAATGAGGATATAAACCCATCCCACGCCTACACACTGTGGGCACTGAGAATTAGTTGGAACACCAACTGCTGGGTTCACACCAGCTCTGTTGCATGTTTTGCACTGTGCTCACCAGAATAGGCACAAAGACAGTCTCGTGGGAGTAGTGGTGATAGCACCAGTGCAGACTGCAAGCTTGTCAAGCAGCTGGTCCTTTGGGTGGGTTACAGCTCTCCGGCTGACAGGTCCCCAAGGAGTTCCCGCTGGTCCTCTGTTATGGGCATCTGCACACACCCAGACACTCTGTCCTGCAAGGTACCCTGAACACCAAGAGGGGCATGACTATCCTTTCTCATGCATCTCAGAGGTTTAAAATATGCCTGCGATATCAAAACCCATTAGACCTGATTACAGCATGACTCTGGTTTGTGCTGCAGACCAGAGGTTACCAGTTTTCTTTGCTCACTAAGCAGCAACCACCACCCCCAGCTGTATATGCAAGTAGGGGGAGGTGTTTGGCTTCTCGACCAGCACTTGCATATTACAGTTTAGAAGTCTCTGTAAGGAAGAGTCGTGACTGCTCTGTATAACTCTGCTTCAAATGCTCCCTGTGGTATGACTGCCAGAGCTGCCCCTAAACACCACATACAGGTGTGACTCATGATGCATAACATAGCCAAAGATCTGTCCCACAGTGGGGCACTTCCTATTGCACCCAAGCTTATAAAATACAGCTCATCATCTCCTTCTTGCAGAATATTCTCAAACTTCCCATAAAACAGCATGGGATGCAGGCTGGAGAATATTCTCTAGCATCTTCGATTCAGGGGTGAATTGCTCTTGACATACAGCCTGCTCTGCAAGGGGGCTCAGGTTGCTGTGAAGTGTCATGAAGCAGCAGGTACATTTTTTGGGGTGTGAGACTTCTGTAACTAACACAGTCTTCTCCTGACACCAAGGTGTGTGAGAAAGAGTTTTATAGATGCATCCAATCTCCACGCTCCAAGGCAAACACCAGTTAAGTCCAAATGTCTGTGCACACACAAGCAAACATCCACGGCTCTACCAACAGTCCAACACTCCTAGAAGTATAGAAATTGCCATTCAGGATAAGACCTGAGGGTCATCTACCTGACGCTCTTGCACAAGAAGGTGCAAGAGACCCCTCAGTAGACAAAACATTGTGCAAGATGATTAGTTCCTTGCCTCCTCAGTTACTAGCTAGCTAATGTGGCTAGCTAGAGGTTCACCCTCCTCCTGGGAGGCCAACTTCTCTGCCAGGGTAACTCCAATGACTCCAGGGAAGGCATACCACTGAAAACCAGACACTTGTTTATTTCTAAAATCATTTCACTATGGAAACTCAGGATGCCAGATAGCACTATTTTGCTGAGTCTTTCAGCATTATTTCCTACCCTAAAGACAGGAATGTGCATGCATGGTGAGGAAGGTAGCAGCGTGCAGAGCAGCAAGGAGTTAATTCTTGCTTTGGGAACTCTCTTTCGTCCTGCACAAAGAGCAAGGCTCAGTTAAATATTATTGCAGGCATTCTGGGAACTTCCATGCAGTTTGTGGGCAATAGCTTGTCAGAGACTAGCTAGTACTAGCTAGTACTACTACAGCCAGTACTGAGCTGTCAAAACAAGAATGGGAGGAGCACTGAAG